AGTTCCTCGTGCATCCTGATAACCAGTGTTTTGAGCTCTGCATCTGATAGATCGCTTATCTCCACTTCGTTTAGCTCTTTTTGTGGAGTTTTGGTCTGTTCTTTCATTTGGGCCACGTTTCTTTGTCTTCTCGTTTTGGCAGCCTCCGTGTGTTTGTTTCTGTGTATTAGGTAGAGCTGCTTTGACTCCGTGTCTTGGTAGCGTGGCCTACTATAGTAGGTGTCCTGCAGGGACCAGTGGCACAGCCCCCCCTATCACCTAAGTGGGGTACTCGAGGTGCACCCTTTGTGTGGGCTGAGCACACCCTCCTCTTGTAGTTGAGCCTTGGTTGCTGTTGGCAGGTCAATGGGAGGGGTTTACCCAGGCCAGTCAGCTGCAAGGACTGGCTGTGACCACTGACCACCAACCTCCACCCTTGCAGAAGGATCAGCTGTGCAGGGGCAGGGTGGTGGTGCTCTGACATGGCCTGTAGCTGTTCACTGGGTGCTCTGGCCCTGAAGTCTTCTGGGTGGTGCGGGGCCAGGGTCAGCCGAGACCCATGTTTTGCCTGGGGCCACCCTGCCTGAGCTGTAATGCAGTCTGAGATGGCTGCTACTTGTGCTGGGCTTGGGGGTTCCCAGGTGAGGCCAAGCTGTGAGTCTAGGCTGCTAGTTCTGGGCTCGGGGCTCATTGAGGCCAGCTGCTGCTTGTTTGAGAGGATTGAGGAGCCAAGACCAGCCATTTTTGCAGAAAAGCAGCTTGTGTGGGCCAATAAGTTGGGTGGGGTGGAGCCTCTGTGGATCTCTGGGTCGTTGGAGTCTCAGGTATAGCCCCAGCCTGCCGGCTCTATGGGTGGAGGGCTCAGCAAAGAGACAATGGCTTCTGCCTGCCCCGATGACAGACACTTGGGTCTTTCCCCGTGCACCACCGGTGCCCTCCAGGCTGCCCCCCGGTGCTGGGGCTCAGAGGGAGCGAGTCTGAGTGGGTGAGTCCGTGTGTGGGTTCCCCAAGAGGAACCGCTTAGCGCTCCAGCAGCCCCCCCCCACCGACTCAATCCCTGCTGGTTCAGGAGTCGTGGGGAGTTAACTTCCTGGCACTGGGATCTGGGGCTGGGGCGTCTGGCGTGGGGCTGGGACTCCCTGCTCCTGAGATACCCCTCCCAGAGTTTTATCCGTGTGGTCGTGGGACCAGCCCGTCCCATCTGCAGCCCTCCTGCCAGTCTGGATGGATGTGGTTTCTTTAATTCTGTAGTTGTCAGACTTCTATTCGACTTCTGATGTTCCTGAGTGATGGTTGTTCTATATTTTAGTTGTAATTTCCACGTGGTTGTGCGAAGAGGCAAGCCATATCTGCCTATGTTGCCATCTTGACTGGAAGCCCTTTTATTTTTAAATCTTTTTGTTTAATCCTCATGAGTGGAAATGTTTGACTTTAGAGAGAGAAACATCGATGTGAGAAACAATGATAGGTTGCCTCCAAAACACTCCACAACTGGGATCGAACCCGCGACCTCTTGGTGTACGGGATGACGCTCTAACCAGCTGAGCCACCCAGCCGGGGCTGACCTGATTGTGTTCACTGAAAACTCCTCTGCCTGACCTGTTGACGCTGAAATGCGTGGGGCCATTCAGGTGAAAACGCCGCTTTCGAATATTCTTCACGGGCGTTTTCAAAGCGTGAGAAAGATTTATCTCCTGGCACGGCGGCAGCGGCCACAGCCGGGGCCCAGCAGAGAGAGGTGACCTCGCTCGGGTCGTCTGCCGTCTGCACTTTGACTTCCTCCTCTTGGCCGGGTTCTGTCCAGACATTTCAACAGCTTGACTAAGCCTCGTCACCGCGGAGCTGCCAGATGCGGTGGCTGCCAACATCCCCGGTAGCTTTTTAAACCCACGTGTTGCCAGCGCTGTGTTTGAGTCTGGTCTTCCCCTCCGTGGTTAGCATCTTTTTCAAAGGAGAATTATTTTTCGTGTTACCTCATCATCCTTCATCAGGAAAAAATGTTTCCAGCAAGCGTCTCCCCTTACAGAGAAGTTGCCTTCGTGCCGAACCTGGGCTGGGGTGGCCTCTGGATAAAAAGGGGCTTTGATAATCAACACGACCAATGCCTCTTTAAATTTTTAAATGCGTGGGGCCCAGCAAAGCTGTGTGAATTAACGCAATGTGACAGCTCGGTGTAAACGGACAGGTTTTTAGCGCGATAATCAAGGAGCGTTTACAGCGAAGCGGATCTGGTGGCGAGTGGCGCGTATCGCATTGCCTGGCAAGGAGGTGAAACACTAAATCGCTCCCGTGGAGAGAGCTGGAATGAACGCCGTTTGCGGATCCAGACGAGCTTTTTGGGGCGAGCCAGGTGGGGAGACAAGCAGGGAAGAGTGCGAGCCGGCCTCCGCGGTCACAGTCCCCGGGGCCGGAGGAGTTTCCTTGGCCGGGCTTCTGTTTTTCCGCTAGCACTTGCTCCAGGCGGGGGGCCAGAGGCTGGGGACAGCATTCCTGTCTACTGCGCCGGTGACAAAGACGTCACGGAGAGCAAGCTCAGCGGATTCAGCTCTGACAGTCTTCGCCGCTTTGAAAACACTGCCCTGCTACTTGGTTGGGACTTCGTGGTCTCTCAAGGTGAAGCACAGGACGCGTCTGGATGCCGCTGTTAGTTAGGGTGCTTCCTGGACAAAGCCTGTGGCCCCCTAGGGCGCAGTGAGCTCCTGGGGATCCAGTCGCCTACCACTTGGTGTTCAGCAAGTGGGTGTTCTCCTTGCACCAGGGAAATACCTGGTCCGGAGAGGAATCTGAAGGTTAGTGAACCTGGGCTGTTTTATCCATCCTCTGTCTATCTACGTTGGCCAGAAGAGAAATGCCGCATGGATCACCGTGAAATGTCTTCGCCCTGGGAATACGTGGTTATTTTTCCTGCAGAGGTGCCTGTGAACGACCCCAGTGGTGCTGCTCCTGCGTGACCGGCTGGTCTTGGTGTGCTGCCACCTCACAGGCGATCTGGTTCAAATGCCAGTGTCGCCGGCTCCTCCTCCCTGCCGCTCCCCTCCCTGTCCAGGCCCCTGGCCAAGTGTGTGGGCCTTGTCTGGAGTCCTTCTCCTCCCCTCTGCTGTCAGCACAGGGGTCCAGGTCATCAGTCTCTTTTACCCACCCATCAGAATAGCCCACTGTTCCAGCCCTTTCTACCCTAGGCTACTCCCCACAGGACAGCTGTGCTCTCCCCAGCCCGAGTCCTACTCGGTCACTCCTGCTATGATTCACCATTTCGTTAAGAATAACTTTTCAAAGCTACAAGGTCCTCCATTTGTCCCCTCTGTGTACCCCCCTCCCTCTTCTGAGGTCACCTGCTAGTGCTCACCCCTTGTTCCCTGGATTTCAGCTACACCGACCTCTGTCCTCTCGGTCATTCCTCAAACAAGCCACACCTGCTCCCAGCAGGCTCCGTGCGTTTGCTGTAAATGCTCTGCTGCTGGGCACACAGGGAGCTCATTGTCTCCCTTCCTTTAGGTCTCTGCTCAGACGCAGGTGAACCTGCTCCAGATCACGTCCTGCCTCCCCACGTCTCCTTACCCTGCCTCGGGTTTGTGTGAATCACCGCCTGACACAGCACCTATGGATAGGTTTCTTCTTCTTCTTCTTCTTACCTTTCTACTGCAGTGGGAGCCCCAGGAGAATGGGGCCTTTGTGTCTCGTCAGCCCTCAGAACCGTGTCTAGCACCTTGGGTCATGCTTCTGGGGCGATTGGACTCAACCTCTCCTCTTGAGATCTTGAACTATTTTCCTTCTAAAAATAAACTTTCCAAGTCTTCATTCCATAGCCTTACCATTTGATGTATCTGGGCTATAATCTCGTCCGTGGCTCGAATCCCTTTGGTAGGCAAGTCAGACTAGTGACAAGACCTCGGGGCAGTAACGACTGCATTTTGCCGGGTCTAACGAGCACCCACGTTTCTCTGCACATTATACACGGGATTATTATGCCCGCTATCATACCCATGACACATTATCATTATACCCGTGTATAATGAACATCCTTATTTTTCCCTAGAAAATTTGGGCGAAAATGTGCACCCTATGCACCACAAAATACGTACTATGTAATAAGTACTTCTTACAGGCGGGGCTCTCGGGCTTATTAAACACTTTGTGTGATTATCTCACGGAATCCTCGCCAGGGGCTCAGAGACAGGCGTTTATTACTGTTGTGCTCTCCTCTCACAGATGGAGGGACTGATACTTGAGACAGGTGAGAGGACCTACCGCCAGGTCAGAGCTAACAATCACTGAGCTGAGATTAGAAGTCCAGGTGTGGTTGACGACGCTCTGCCTCCCGGCTGTTTCCCCCGCTAGTGCCTGTCCGGGAGTGACTGAAGCTGGGAAGGGGCTGCAGGCAAAGCGTCGCCGTGGGCGGCTCCTGTGCTGGGCTTTGGGACACCAATGTGTGTGTGTGTGTGTGTGTTATAGTGTGTATTCTGCACAACCCCCGCTAGGAGTGCAGGTACGAGCAGGGCCGTTCACCTCTCAGACGCGTCCCCAGAGCCACTGCCCGCCCGGTTGGGACTTGAACGCGGGCTCGCTCAGCGCACAGGCGGTTGAAACCCCATAGTAAGAGAGGATGGATCCCCGCACTGTGACCCAGAAGAAAGGGGTCGTCACCCATTTGGTTCACCGTGTGCAAGTGGGGACATTTAAATATAGGTGGACAAAAAACAACTTGTGCAAAAGCAGGGAGACCCCCGCCCCTAGTGGGAGGCAAGATGGCCCCAAGGCTGGGGCGGGGTGGGGAATAACGATGCTCCCTGCACCGCCAGGCCGGACGGCGGCTACGGCAGCAGCAGAGACGTGCTGGGAGGAGGGCGGCTTGGCTCCAGGGTAAGACCGCTGGGCACCCTCTGCTCTGCAGGACGCTGTGGGGAAAGCAGCGGAGACCACCCTACAGCCTGCCCTGGGGCTGGGGGAGGGTGAGGGAGGAAGGGGGCGTGGCTTTCGGTGCGGTGGGCGTGGCCGGGGATGCCCCGCCCTCTCCTCGGGGATGCCGGGATGTTTACACTCCTGACAGCAGCGTCCACCCGAGCAGGAGCAGCAGTTGCGGGAGGATGGGCTGCTGCTAGGCTCGCGCTCGGGACGTGCGGGGCCGTGAGAGGGTGGGTGGCCGCGCCTGCAGCGTCTGCTGGGGCAGCGTGTCGCGAGGTGGCGTTCGGTTCAGGCCCCGCAGCCACAGTCCTCGGCCCTGCGGGCCTTTCCGCGGCGCTGCCTGGCCAGGTCGCCTGCCCGCCAGCCCCAGGCCCCTCGCGGGCAGCAGAACTGACGACTCCCGGCTTCCTGGTGAGTCGTTGTGGGGTCGGGGGCGCGGGGCTGATGGGGACGCGAGTCCAGGCCGCGCTGGCGTCCTCAGCGCCTGCAGCCGGGAGGCCGGGCGGGGCGCGCCGCGTTGAGCCGGGGGCTTGGTCCCGCTCGTGGACAGGCACCGGCGGAGGCTTTGCGCCTGGCACCAGTTCCGGCCGCGGTGGCCTCGGTAACTAAGAAACTGCGCGCCCACGGTGGCGGCGGCGGCGGCGGCGGCGGCGGTGGCGGCAACAGGTCTTCAGTTTCAGGACCCGAGGAACTTGAGTGAAGTCCCGCCTCCCGCCCCTCGGCAGGTGCTGATTGGCGGCTCCGGTTATTTTCCGCGTCGCTGATTGGCTAGGCCCAGCTGTCAGGATTCCGCCGCAGCCAGACTTGGCAGAGTGAAGTTCAGCGGCAGAGGGCAGCTGGTGGGATTCCCCAGTGGCTGGAGAAGCGCGGGATGACCGGCCTGTTGGACAGTGAGTTTCGTGGGACTCCGTTAGGGCGAGGAATGCCAGAGACAGGGATGGCAAGGCCCTAGCCAGCGTGGGTGGTGACGGTGGCAGTGGGGAAGAAGGAAACTGAAAATAGAGGCCGAAGCCGGAGAGACGCAGGGGAGCCCGAAGGAAAGAGGAGAAAGCTGGGAGGATCGCGTTGCCCAGGACAGGGCCAGGAACAGAATGCAGCCCTGCGGATGCTGCAGCGAGGTCGCCCCTCTCCTGTGCTCTGTAGGCATTGGGGCACAAGGTATCCAACAAATCAATCGTGTCCTCACATTTCTGTTGTCCTTGTTGGGGACAAACACTAACGATGGACTATTTTACAGTAAGAGGTGCCCCCACCTTTGAGCAATGGTGGTGACGGAACCGAAAGTCAGAACGTGTTACAGAAATGATTTTCCCTCTCCTTTGAGACTAGTGATCCTCAGGGTGAAGTTGGGGGAAAAAATCAGATGCCCCTCGTTTGTAGAGCGTTGTGTACTCATCATGATTACAACCGCTGTTTCTAATTCCTCCCCCGAGGAATTCTGAGTTTCAAGAAATGTGCGCACTCCGCGCAGGCGACAGAGGCGTGTCGTCGGGTTGTGCGGGACGTGCGTGGATCAACCCGTGCAGGAGCCTGAGCTGCTGCGGGTGGGTGGAAGAGCAGCACAGGGCTTTCACGCAGGATGCAGGATGCGGTGCGTTGGGGACGGACGCCCCGATAAACCTGGCAGTGGGGAGTCGATAACGAGAGGCCAGTGGCCCTGTAATGCGTTGTTGTGGCAACTCCCGACGAGTGGACGCTCGGTACTCATTCGTGGCCGCAGCAGTGGCGAAGGCCAGTGCACGGAAGACAGTTAACGTAAAACTTAAGTTCTTTCATCTGCCGGGGAAGGAACCTTCTGCTGGCCTCGGGGAGATCTGGGCCACACTGGTTCACTGCTGAAACCGCAGCATCCTCTGGCCTGGCCCAGGAGCTGGCTGGGGTTGGGGAGAGGAGGTGGAGCTTAACAACTTGGCCTCCAGGAGGAGTCCAAGTGCAGAAACAGTGGGGACGGTGGGAGACGGGCCTGCGATATAAAAGGGGAAGGACCCTGCTGTGTGTGTGCCGGAGGGTGGGGCTGGGGGCTGGCTGACTTCTCTCGCAAGCTGGGGAAGCCCCGGCAGCCTGCCAGGTGCGGGGCCCGAGATTTCGCCGCCGCAGCACTGACGGCCTCCGCAGCCAATGAGTGACGAGGACAGAGGGTTCCCGCCGGGGGGCGGTACTTCCGGCCGGGGCTGGGCCGGGAGAGCGAGAGTTCCGCGGGAGGGAAGTCTGTGGGCGGCCGGGCGTTGTGCGGTGGGACGCGGGGCCCCGCCGCAGGCCTGCGGAGTTTAACGTGCGCGCGAGGGCGAGGAGCCTCTCGCCCCTGCAGCATGATCCGTCCCGCAGGTTGGCCGCACCGCCCGGTGCACGGGGAGCCAGGCTGGCCCGCCAGTACACGTGGCCCAGGGGACCGGCCTAGTTTTCCCCTCGAGTCATCCCGCAGGGTCAGACCCGCAATCGTTGGGCGCTTCCCCGGGGACCTGGGCGTCTTCCCGCGGTTGAAGTAACCCGGGCGCAGACAGATCCGTTCTGTGATGGGGTCCCCTGTCCCGCTGACGCGGGTCCCTCCCTGGTGGACGCGGTGGGGAGCGGCGGGCAGAGTCCTCCGCCTGCGCAGCGGAGGTCAGAGGTCAGCGTGGCAGGCGCAGGGACCCGAGTGCAGTGCGGCTGGTGCTCCTGCTGGCCTCCCCTCCGTGGGCAGTTTGGGGCTCGGATTTATGCCAAACAGTTCACGCTTCTTAATTATCGTGTGTTTAGTTTTCCCCACTTAAATATGTGGTTTGAGATAACATTAGAGATGTTTACAGTGTATCTAGAAGTAAACACCGTTTTCCTAGGAACCGGATCTGATGTTTCAAAATACATCCATGTGGTATTAGTAATGTGGCCACTGCCATGCAGCGCATCTGAAGAGTGACTATTTAATGCAGTTTCGGAAAAGAAGTTGCTTAACTAGATAATACGTTCCAAGATTCCTTTGAGGTATTGTTTCCTTTGATTTAAAAAAAAATAGGTTTTGGTATTTTAAAAATGTGCAGTGTTGCTGTGTTTGCAGGAAGAAGCACCCTGTCCACATTCCTGGTGTCGTTAGAATTAAAATATTTGTCCCTTCCAGTATTTACTCAAGGTTAACGCGGTAGGCATTTTAATACGCTGTATATAAAACATGATAGCAAACTTATTCTGATGCTTGAGAGTGTCTTGGAAATGACATGTATGATTACTGTTTGCTCTGAATTACTTTATCAACAATTCCTCTGCATTTCTAAATATATAACAGGAGTTTCAATGAATGTTTCTTCATACTTCTAAATGTTTCAGTTTAATTCCCTCTCCCTTATTTTTATAGGTCATGGGTAAATAACATTTTATAGTTGGAATCAAATATATTTTATGTGCAGATAGTTTTTAAACTTACACATACATGTAGGACCATCCATTCAGAGTTATGAAACTTCTAAATTGCTGACTCCTTTTTTGGTGATTAATAGTTGGATTATTCTTATGTGTTATATATCTTCAAGTATTTTTTTTTATTCTAAAGAGAATACTTAGAGGCTGTTTTTCATGGTTTTTAGTAGTAGTGGGAAGAGGAGGACAGGTGGTCACGAAGCATACCTAAATTTGGAGCAGGGTCACTACTTTTTGTACCCTTTGTCAGAACAGCTCTGTCATACTACACACAGTTTTTATGATGAGCTTCTATAATAAGATATTTGTAATAGTTATATACAGAGACAATCAGAGTAGTGTATAAATGAACAGAACTTATTTAATTGGTCTATAAAATTTAGAAATGTATGTGCTTTCTGTTACTTAATGGAAATAGATCTTTCCACAATGCTTGCCATTGGGCTTCTGTTGATAATCAGAAGTCTCGTAGGGCGAGTTTTTCACTGCAGGTTGCTTTTGTGTGGGAGGAGGTTTCCATGTTTCTCTCCGAAGGGTCGGGTGACAAATAATTCTGGCCTGTGAGCCAAGTGGTCTCTGTCCTGGCTGCTGCCTTGTAGCCGCGGGCAATAGGCACACGGACTGGTGTCGCTGCGTTCGGGTGAGACTCTCCTTACGCAGCGAGGCTGCAGGGCCGGCCGTGGTCTGGAGCACAGCGGGGCTGCAGGGCCGGCCGTGGTCTGGAGCACAGCACCGGAGATCTGAGCGCGACTCCAGGTCTCGGCGCTGGGACTGGTGAGGGTCCCCCGCAGCGGTGCTGTGTGGCCTGTTCTGTCCCTTAGGCCCTCACGACCGTCTCTCCACCTTCTCCAGTCACCTCGGAAGGGTGTGCAGTCACTGGTCCTCATGCTTTGTGTTTCATCTCGGAGACTTTGTCAGTGCAGGAACCTCCTCCAGCCTCCTCCACCTTGTGCGGGTTTCCCGCCGTTCTTTGCGGCTGGGGAGTCGACCGCACACTCGTCCTTCCACGCGGGATGCAGGTGCACCTCCCCGACTCCTGCCGCACCGCACCAGGGTGGAGTCCGGGGTCAGAGGTCTCTTTTCCCGGGGCCGACTGAGAGCGCCCCACACACGCGTGTGTCGTTAGTGGTCGTCACTGTCAGCCTCCTGCCACGACTGTTCCTTTCAGAGGGAGTGGTCTGGCCTGGACAGGGGCTGGGCAGATATTTTTCTTTTTTCAAAAAAGCAACTGAGCCTTTCTTGAAAGGCCCTTTTCCCACTGAAACAGAAAAAGAGTACTGCGCTGGGCCGCTCTGGGTGGGGAGGGCCTCGGGTCAGGGCGCGCACCCCCCCCCCCGGTGGTCCTCTGACCCCGTGGCCGCAGCCCTGCCCTCTCCGCCTGTCCCGTGTTTGCCACCTCCCTGCTCCACTCAGACCGGTTTCCTCGGCTCAGGTGAGGTCGCTCTGAGGGCCATATGGGAGCATCTCGGTGCGAGTGCGGCGGGAGGCTCCGGGCGTGTCGGTTTCCTGTCCTGTTTCTCTGTTCTTAGGCCTCGGGGATGCTTGTCGCCGTGACCCTCCCCACGTCCCTCGGCCAGGGCCCCGCGGTGTCCGCAGGGGCTCCTTTCCCTTCCTCCGCTTCCCCTCCGCTCTGCGGGTTCCAAGTTCATGAGTTACTGGTTCCCACGTCTGAGTTAGTGCTTCCGTGATTTTTTTGGTGGGGTTACAGGGAGAGGCAGTCATCCCGGTTCCTTGGGCAGAAGAAAAACCAGAGGTTTGGCGGGGACGGGGGATATTTTAGACCACAAACAATGGGAGTTGCAAAAGGACCCTTCAATACTGATGAGGAAATGGCAAGATCAAAGCTATTCTTTCTAGTGTGCTTGTGATCCCGTTCATTCTTAGAATATTTTCCTCAGCCTCATATTTACCTGGAAAATTTCTCTTATGTTTGTTATGGTTGTAGCCATGTGATATTTACTATATTATGATTGGGAGAAAGAAATAGATGTGCTTATTAAAAATTATTATACTTCTGAAATGTAAGGCGTTGTGAATCTTCCACCGCCCCTCCCTTTATTTTTGAGAGAGTGAGGGAAGGGAGGGCAGGGGAGAGGGAGAGAAACGTCATTGTGATGGAGGAACATCGGCCAGCTGCCTCTTGTACGCGCCTGGACGGGGACCGAACCCGCAGCCTCGGCACATGCCCTGACCGGGAATCGAACCGGTGACCTTTCACTTTGCCGGGTGACGCCCAGCCGAGTCACAGCGGTCAGGGCCTCCATCGCCTGCCACGCCCAACTGCTGGCCCCTGTTTTAAGTGGTGTGCTAGGTTTGCACACTGCCGTGGAGACACCCAGAACCGGACGGCAGGTCATCCATCGGAGGCAGATAGCAAGTCCCCATTCCAAACAGTCGATTTCTGGGCGTGAACCGTCGCTCACCAGATACAGGCGCACTGCAAGGTGTTTATTATACACGGAGAACGCTCACTGATGGATGGGCTCTATGGGAAGGAACT